TTGTTGAGCATCACTGAGCCTTGACTACACAATGGTTTCTCAGGGCCCCAGGTTGGTTTCGGGCCCCTGATGACATCTCAGAAACAATAAAAAAATGTATTATCTGTCACGCTTCTATTGAAAGAATCATTGTACCCCAATATTTGCTTGCCAAGAAAAATTGTATAAATGCTCTGTGCTCTTAAAAATAAATTACATTCAGATATGCACTCCTAGAAGTCGTGTCTGTCTGTCACTCAGCCTCATCCTTGTCTACCCTGCGCCAGAATTGCCATCCCTGAAACTTGTCTCCTGCTCCTGCTGCGCTGGTCCACAGCACCTATTTCATAAGGATCTTTGCCAAAGTTTTCAAGGATATCATTTATTCTGAATAACAGCGATTATTCAAGAAAGTGGGGATTAAAAACTGCTGGACAGCACATATGATTCATGTTCATTCATTCACTGATTCCTTCTTTTAGTTCTATAGTATGCACTATGTGAACATTGGCAGCAAAAAGTTACAGAAAATACCTATGAGTTCATTGTTCAGTTGTAAAATCAAAAATGTAAGCAGGACACCAAAGTACCACCATCAGTGCTACCATCATCAGTGACAGGAAAGAAGTATAGACGCCACAGAATACTTGCAATTTTTCTAAGGACATCTTATCTTTTGTTCCAACTGTAGATAATGCTCTAGGGTTGTATTTTTCATGGAATAAAAAGAAATGTGGTTGATGGAATTGATGAGAGTACATTGTGCTCCCATAGTTTGTGTAACTGATATACCAGGTGAGGGGTTATCTCCTCACCTCACATTCTAGGCCTTAACTTCAAAGATGGAATAATGAAAGCATGCAGTCGACAGCACATGTACACTAAGCAACTACTCTAGGCCTGGTTGATACCCAATCTCAGTATTTTTTCCATCCACAAAAGGTCACTGCTATAGAGTTGCTTCATCGCTCACAGAAATACATTTTGTGCTGCTGGATTCATTATGATTAAGAAGACTTTCTGGGAGAAATAAAAACAGTTACTGAGTTCTGAGCTTGTGCTAAGTCAAGCCAGATCCTAAACCACTGTTCCTTACTATTGAACTTTACAGGATTGATGCTATCCTTTTCCATACAACTGCTGATTTCAATCGCTCTCTCCTCAAGGACAATGTCATCTGAGGAAAAGGACTCAGAATTAAAGGGTCAGAAGGAAACTACAAGTACTTTGATTCCTCCAAACTTCAATTTGCATTGGTCATTCTTGAGGGTTATTTTTGTAAGTTTAAACAGGAATCCTTTTTAAAAACACTGTATGAGTGCAAGACTACTTTGCTAGAACAGATACTATGATGTACCCCCCCAGCCAAAACACCTTCAGCTGCAATCTAGAAAAATGTGTGGAAGAGTTGATTTAAATTCACAAAATAGTAACCAGTTATCTTAGAAGAGCTGATTTACATTCACAATATAAAATATTCACAATATAAAATATTTCAAAAACAATATGTTATGCTGGAATAGTTATCAAAATATTACAAATAACTACAAGATAGCAATCTATGTGCTTCTTTATTAATGTAATAATATCATTATTGAGCAACAGATCTAATAATGCCCATAATTATTAAGTGGTAATGAGTAAAGATGACATTTCAGGATATCTTCAACAATATGATATGAAAAATCTACAATTACTTTGGTACTTAAAGTAATAGTGTAGTTTATCAAATTTCATAATTGAAGGAAAAGCTAAAATTCATGTAGAAATTAAAGAAAAGAAAGATACATTATTTTTCTCATTCAGGTGAATAAGTCCCAAGTAAAAATTTCAGGTTTCTCACAGCATGATATCATGATTCTCTAAATAACCCCATACAGTTCACAAAACTGTTGAGCTACTAACAAGGAGGCTTATTTTACTTGACTATTAAAAAAAATAGTCAATTAGCCAATTAGTGTTATTTCTCAGATTAAAAAAAAATGTATGCAGGGCCCTTCCTGGTGGCGCAGTGGGTTAAAGGACAGCACTAAGAAGCTTAAGCGACTTCCCCATGAGTTCGATTCCCGCCTGCCCTGGAGGTGACCACATGGTTTGGCAGACCTCTCCTGACCTGCCCGCTGCTCCCCTCAGCAGTGTACTTCATCAATCTGCCTGCTCTGCTCCCCACTCTGTCCCTGGTGAATTCTCTCACCCTCTGCATCTCTAGCCTGTACCCCAGTTCTGTATGAGTAAATAAATAAATCTTTAAAAAACAAATAACGTATGCAGACCAACTAAACCACTGAATTAGCATTCCAGAAACAAACAAACCAAATTGCAACCAGATGGGGGTGTGAGCCCTCCAGTCTTCCTTGACCACCCAAGTTTTGCCTTACTGATGTATGCTATCTTCCTGGCTCCCATAGCCACCTCTGATATGTGAAATTTACCACTCCATGATAATTTGCTTCCCAGAAATGGGGAGAGAATTCTATTTGAAAGCCCATTGTCTCCATCTAACTTTCAGTCCTCTAATTTCAGCAACTGACTCGCTATGGCTCCTGGGAAGCCTCTTGCTTTGGTAAATAAAGTTTTATTGAAACACAACTACGTTCATTTACTTATATACTCTGTGTATGGCTGCTACAATTGCCTCAAATATATCCTCCTGAAATTCATAGGTTGAAGCTCTAATTCCCACGAAGTGATCTTTCAACAAGACAAAGACAGTGTTCAAGCAGATCCTGCCCATAAATTATTTGACAACTAGCCATCTCACCCTCAGAACATCAACCACATTACTGGTAAGATGGAGCTTGTACTGCTTCATCTCTGGGTTATTGACATTTAATATGACTCATTATTATATGTAAATTATGCTGAAGTATGAGGCTATTTAATAGGCCCCCAACGTGTCAGCTCTACTTTTTGGGGAACATCTTCTCTTTTTGTGAGGACACAACTTTCTGAGAAGAAAGTGACACTGAAAACACATCCTGCCCCAACATTTGGCCAAGTTATTAGTGCCATCCATAAATTTCAGAAGACCCTTTTTTCAAGCTGATATGGGTTATGATGGAGACTAGATTGAAAGGGGAAGTCATTTGATGTAAACGACACACTGGTTCCTGCAGGGCAAGTGCACCATTCTGATCCCAGTAAACAGCACATGAATTTTCTGACTGAAGTTTCTCTTCCTGTCATAGAATGCCACACTGGTATGTGAGCTCAGCTCTCATAACCAGAGTGCATGCATTTGTCCCTACGCGTGTGTGTCTGTGTGTGTGTGTTGCACATGCTCAGATGTGTGAAAAAGAAAATGATGATTCAGCTTTATAAGGAATTTATTTTGAAGAACACAAATCTTATTTTCTACTGGCAAGTTGTCTACATTGTCCCTGTCTGAGACCTTACAATGCAATGATATCAGTTGGTTATTTGATTTTAATCCTTCCAGACATGGATTTCCTCTTGAGTTTTGAAGAAAAATTAGGAACTCCGTTTATTTCATAAGAATGTCACAAACACCCACTGAGGTAACTCTATAAACAACTTGCTTTGAGAAGGACAATGACAAATAAGTCCTGTCTTAAGACTAATGACGATGATGGGGATTCCATAGTCCTGAGCAGGTGGGAAGTTTCCAAAACTGCCAAAATTTTGATGGAGAAGTCTTAATACAATTTAGGAATTTCAAATATCAAACAGGCTGCCTTAAAGAGAAACTTGTTGTTGGAGAAAGTAGAACACTGACCAAAGGAAATATATTTTTGCTTAATTATAAAAGTGATCCTGAGCTCCCTAATGAATAAACAAGAAGGTTTCATATTACCTTCGTAGTTAGCACCCCTCTTCCCCAATCAACTGCCTCAACTTTCAATTACTTGCATAATATGAGTTTCACCTAACCATGTTCCCATAATAGTCACACTTGGCTGTAAGCTCCTTGTGCCCTGGAACTCTGTTTTATTTTTTGGGCTCTCTACAGTAATTTATATTAGGCCTTGCTGTTGACAAATGCTTCATGCTGTTCATTAACAAAAATTATAAACTGAAAATGCTACTCAAATACAGGTTAGATGCTGTGACATTGCTAATATAAGTGTGGCTCCTACAATCTTGTCATCTCAGAACTGAAATAGGGAATTATATTGATTTGCTTAAATCCATTTCTATGTTGCTAAATATAGATGCCATCTTGTCTTTTGACTTTCCCCCCACCCCGGCATGTAAACTACAGGGAAGGTTCTATTTAAGGAGTTGAGGAAGGGAAGGCTTGTTTTTCAAAATACTTCATCATAACCAGGCAATCATTTTAGATTAAATTCTTTTAAGTGCACTTACCCAAAAGCACTTACCCAAAAACTTTTGGTAATAAAAGACCCTTAGCCAATGTCCAGTGATCTATAAGTCAGAGTTAGCAGGTTTCTTTGTGCAAATTAAAATTGTGATACACTCATCAAAAGAAAAAGAAAATGGTAGTAAAGATTAAATTTGCAGCTGCAGGGTAAAGAATTCCTATACTTATTTTTAGGCTATGTCAGTGTGACTAATTTTTTTTGAGATAGTGTACTTTGAAAGAATTAATGGGAGATAAGCTTTAAGAATTGATTATTAAATGAGGAGAGCTTAAAGAGAGTCAGGAATATAAATAAGGTGACCAGTTTGACTAGCCAACCTTACTAGTGCAAAAAATATCCAATAAGAGACATTGATAATAATTTTATGATGTTATAAAACCCAAGAACTAACTCCATTAAAGTATTATGATATTTTTAGAGTACAGTTTGTTTCTCTTCAAGTCCATTTTTCATTTTTCATTTAAATGCAAAGATGTAAATCTTTATTAATATACTCAGGGGTTCTTTTTTCCCTTAAAAAGTAAATGAAATACAAAGAAAGGGAAAGAGAATTGCCTTGCTTCACAGTGATGGGAATGTACTGTTAGAAAATCAAATAACTTTTCCATACTAAGCTAATAGAGCATAACATTTCAACCCTCTGGATAATAAAAGGGGAAGTGGATTCAAACAACATACCCGTTTCCTTAGATTGCAAGTCAGAGTGAGATTCCTTGAGAATGAGTTTGCAAAAGCCGTGTAAAAGTCCAGGACTTTGAGCAAGGCTTCTCGCTTGATGATGTGGAGGTCACAGTATGTCAGTGCCCGGACATTGGCACATGCATGAGCAAGAGTTGTTTCCTTCCAGAAGATATCTCCAAATACATCACCTTTCCCTGAAAAATAGTATAAGATACTCAGTTAACTACAACAGTTCATACTTAACCACTATTTTAATTGTGCTCCATATTATGGTATTGATTTTCTGAATCAAGACCCTGAATGTGTAACCCTCCCTATATACATATAACAATGTACTACAATTTCAGATAATATGTAATGCAACATAAACTTGAATTGAATTCTTGATGGAAATGTGGAGTGGTAAAAATAAAGGAACTCCAACAAAAAAGCTGAAGTCTTTACTTTAATACATAGTTTCATTATCTTCTGCCTCGTTAACTTTTTCCAGTCTGATTGGAAAGAGCAAAGGTGTTTTCCTAGTTTCATCCTTTCTTCAGTTCTTTCTGGGAGAAAAGACAGCAAAATACAATAGATGACCTAGTTTTCATAAATCTAGAACTGATTCAACACATATTAAACATTACTCAGCAACTTTGTAAGCTTTTGTAGAAGCTTACCATACTTACTCCCCAGGCACGCCCTTCCCTCACCACCGAACCAAATCTTAGAAGGGGCTTTGGGGCCCAGCCCAAGAGTTCTCCATTTACCATTCAAAAGTCTGAGGAACTGAGCTCAGTAAAACATGGAGGCCCAGATTTCTTATTCCATAAAGAGTGCACATACATTTGCATAGGTGTGAACCTATACCTCCTGAAGCAAAAACAATGATTTAGACCAACTTTACCTTAATAACAAGAATAACAACAATGGGATATTTGCCCAAGCAAGGAAGAGTCAGCTATGAGGAACTGAAGATGTTTCTACTGAGGCAGTTATATCAAACTCCTTGGTCATTCCTTGTTCTGTGGGAAAGAAAGTTGTCCCGTTTCTCAGAGTGAAAAACATGGAGGATATATTCAGGTAGGGAAAATTTAAGGCACTCTGTCTAAGACTTACTCTTTCTACACGCTAACCACAGAGATGAGCAAATATCTGCTCTCATTGTGAGGATTAAAGTCAGGACTGTAAGGAATAAAGAAAAAGGGAGAAAGTGTTCCTGTGACTCTTCAAACCAGTCAGCCCACCAGAGACTAAACAAGAGCAAGAGAGAAAGGGGTAGAAGGCTGAGTGAAATTACTGTCTCAGAGAAACCTGAGGCCCTCTGGAGTAGAAAGAGAAGATACACATTTTATATAAGAGGTGGTTATGTGACCATGTGATCAGCATAGAATAACCATAATGGCTATTTGACTAATCTTGAGCAATCTCATGTTTCTGGTCCTCCTACCCCCAATTCCTTTTAGTTAATAATTTGTCAAAAGACATGATTCAGCTGTCTGATTGCCATATGTTTGCCCAAGGAAGGATAATGAATGACCTAAATATATTGTTTAATCATATAACATCCTAATAACTTAAGTGAGACTAGTTATAGAATTTTGAAAGAAAAACCTTAGCTCCAGTTACACAGGAGAATTTCAGAAATCTATAAATGCTATTCTCTTTGAACTAATTTCAATGATAGATTTTGATACTAATTATACTATGAGATATACCAAGTTTACTTAAATATGTTCATTGAAGAGATATTTATAATAGTCAAAAAAGAACACAATAAATATGAATGAATAAATAAATTATGGAATATTATGCAGCCACTAAATATCATATATTGAAACAAAGTGACAGAGAAATGTTCACATAATATAAAATAATGAAAGCAGGGTGTCAAATCATACATATACTATGACTTTATCTTATGTACCCTGTATCCCCCAGAAACACCCACATGTGAACACACTGCAAATATATCAAAACAGTAGATTTACTTCTCTGCATAATAGGATATGGATGGGTTCTACTTTGTTTTGAAGTTTACAACCACTGTTTTTTTTTTTTTTAATGCAAATGATCAACGAATGATATGATAGTCCCTGGTCCTATGAAAATAACAGGGCTCTGCATGGATTATTTTAATCTACCTCTTATTCCTTCCCCTCTTGTCACTATTACTCTTTCTATACCTAATTTTTCTTTGACAAACAGAAGAGGATTATATTTCTTTCTGATCTATTTCTGTGATCCTTTCTCAAATTGTCACACATAATACAAACTCTAACCCATTTACAAGTGCTCATTACTTTTCAACTATTAATTTTAATAACTACAATTATAATCAATGCGTTTGACTCAATGATTTCACTTCTGGGAATCAATCAAAAGATTTAGATCCAACACATGTAATATTCACTGCAGTACTATTAATCACAACCTCCCATCAGAGAAAATTTAAATAACTAAAAAAAAATTTTATGTCCAAGATCAATGAGAAAAAACATGAATGTACCAAAAGTACCAATTAATACTGACTTATAAATAATTTATGAAAACAACACACAAAAAAAGATTGATTATTTTAAGTGAATAAATACACAAAATAACATGACTATGGTCAGAGTCATAGTAAAGTATACAAAAATGAAACTAATTCTCCAAGACTAAAGGAAATTTCAAGTCTACATTTTCTTTTTTCTTAAAGAAAAATAATACTGATAGAAAGTAAACTTTATTCTGTTTTTCTACATAATATATTCTGGTATTATTGCCAATTGATGATAAATTATGTTTGAAAATATATGGGATATAAGACTAAAAGAAAATGTATTTGGTAAGTATAGCAATTGACTTTAAATGATATTTCTTGTTTTTCTTCTTTCTACTTTGTTTTCCAAATTTTTATCTAGTAAATTTTTGTAGTGAATTCTGTTATTATAAAATGGAACTTTTCAAATAAGTCTTTCCTTACACTTTTTAATAGAATAGAATTAATAAAGTATGTACACAGATCTATAGAAGTGTGTAAAATATTCACTGAGTGCATTGTCAATGGGTAAAAGATATTGTATGCATCACTGAATTATCCTTGCCATATTTAATTGTGGAGGAATCAACATATCTGTAATATATTTTATTTCACTCAATTGGATAAATTAAAATTCTTATCATATTTCTATCAGAAAAACTAGGCTCTGACAGAATAGCATTAAACTATAATACAAATTCAGGAAGGCAGGGAGTTGTCTTGGTTTCATCCAGTTCCATTAACCCCAAAGCCTAGAACAGCTCAAAGGTGCTGCAAATATTTATTGAAAAAAAAAATTCATGCATAAAAAAGTAAAGCAGAGGAAGACAAAGAACAGTTGGGAAACTGGAAAACAGGAGTGAGAACTGAGACTCTACCCTAAGAGTGTGGTCCAGACAAACTGCCAAGCTACCAGGTCTTTGATGCTAAATGGAACAGAGTGAATAATAATCAATGTTTCAGGTTTCTCTACATATGTAATTCTGTATGTCAATTAAAAATCATCATATTTTAGCCCCTCCTTGGTGCGCAGCGGGTTAAAGTGCAGCACAAAGAAGCTTCAGCCACTTTCGCATGAGTTCGATCCCCACCTGCCCCAGAGGTGATCCACATGGTGCGGCAGACCTCTCCTGACCCGCTCACTGCTCCCCTCAGCAGTGTACTTCGTCGATCTGCCTGTTCTGCTCCCCATTCTGTCCTTGGTGAATCCCCTCACCCTCCGCATCTCTGGCCTGTACCCCAGTTCTGTACAAATAAATAAATAAATCTTTTAAAAAATTATCATATTTTATTTTCAAAATAATAATGTATGTGTGTCTCATGGCCAATCAAACAAACAAAAAAGATTTTAAAAACTGGAACCTCAATTCCCAATCCCAATACAAGGCTGAAATCAACAGAAAAGTGAATTGATTCAATCAAAGTAAAACTCACTCTCTACTCCTAAAAGAGTTTAGACAAACATTACAAAAGTAACAAAAGTAAATATTGTTGCTCTATACTAATTATTTTATAACATAGAACTTTCATTAGAATATGCATTTATAAATTGGATGTTAATAATTTCGAAATGTTTTCACTTGATCCAGCTTTCTATATCACTTAATAGCCATGTAATTTACGATTTTTTTTTTTTTTTTATGGCATGGCTGTGAAGATAGTTGTCAAGTAAATCAATTAATTTACCGGTCACAGCATATTAGTTAATGTCCATCCTCAAGGCATGTTATGCATATCTACAGCAAGTAATCCACAGAAATCACAGATTGTAGGATTTGGGATTATTGTGTGGTATATCCAATAAAGAACACTTCTTCCTTCATCTCGAAGATTTTGTACAGTTTCAGGGCTAGGAACTCCTGTTTATCTTCATGACTACAGAGTAGTTGATGTGGTTTTTAGGTCAACTCCCACTGGGTGCATGTAGTCTTAGCTATAAACATTTTAGAGCTTGAGAAAAGTAACCTTCCCCCAAAGCCCTAAAATTAGAAAAGCTCACACTCAACATGAAAGTTGTTGTTTGGTCTATTTATATTTTTGCAGTTCTTTGCATCAAGACTTAGGAAGTATTTCACTTTTAAGTCACAGACAGAGGACTATAAAATAGAAGTAAATGTTAAAGATTCATAGGGTTAGAAACTGGAAAATAAAAAGACAAACAGAGACAAAGAGTTACAGCATCAATAAAGGGGTGATACAGACCATGATATGTGTGGGGGATTATGGTCCCCTGAGGCACTGGTTTAAAAACAGAACATTTTCTTTTTAAAAATATATGAAGCACATTATTTAGTGAGTTAATGACATGGAGAAAATAAATGCATAAAAATTCCTTCAGTTATTTAGCAGTGACTATACCTATCCAGCATAGCCAATGGGCACTAAAAATAAACAATTACTTAGTTTTTATGACTATAATGATAGCTTTATTTGATGATTCTTCTTTATAATGAATTCATCAACTTTCACTATAACTATCATAGTAAGCTCATAAACTATTATGAATATGTACATTTGTACAAAATATTCACTGATAAGTGAAAAGCACTATGAGTTTTCAAATATATTATTATTATTATTATTATTTAAAGATTTAGTTATGCATACAGAACTGGGGTACAGGCCAGAGGTGCAGTGTGTGAGAGGATTTACCAGAGACAGAGTGGAGAGCAGATTGACGAAATACACTGC